TGGGATTAAATCTGTCTTAAACATGTGCATATGTATGTGTGTTTGTAATTTATTTGCCAGGTAAAATGTATCAGTTGAAATCCATTTCTATTAGCTTAAGAATGCAGGAACTAACCAGCAAGAAACCAGGAGAAATAATTTCTGCTGTAAGCAATACCACTAGTTAACTCAGTCCAGGCATCTGCTTAGGGAAAGATATCTGGTTTGAGACATGCTACAGCTAAAAAAAGAAAGTCTTTACATGAACTCATCAACCAGTTCTTCAGATGGATGTCTTCTGAAATCCACTCGATCAGATGGCATGTAGAACTGAGAGATTATCCCAGCTATCGTGAAATCTCCTGGCAGAAAATACTTGTGCTTAATAAATTGAGGTTTCCCCACGGCACATGCTTTAGTACGAGAAATAAAGCATGTAACTCCTGGAAATAGGACTGCTATTACTGCCAGGAAAAATACCATTTTTTTCAAGAAGATTTTCATTACCAGATAACAACCGGTTCCACTTGCAGCAATGAAACATTAAAAAGAGAAGGTCTCATTATTCAGAATAGTCTGCATATATATTCTTTCCCAGACTGTGACATTTGTAGCCCTCTGGCTCCACAACTAATAGCACCTTTCATTCATCACCTGTTTTTTTTGGGGGGGGGGGGTTGTCTCTTGGACATCCCTAAGGATTTGAGAAGAAGTTGTATTATCGAGACTCTGCTGGTAATTATAAGAGAAATTGATGGATGTTCAGTGAAGCTCCTTAGAGGCTTTGAGTAAGAAATAGAACGATGACATCCATGGGCTCAGAACCAAAGGGCCCATAACTGACAGTTATATAGGAGCTAGAAGGAAAAAAACAATTCCAATGAAAAAATTATCATTAAACAACATTGTGCTAATTCTGTGGCTGTAAAAATGGAATTCTCTGGAACAATAGAATACTGACTTCCACCCTGATGAATTTTTGGAAGCACATTAAAAAATCTCTGATCCAAAAATCCAAAGACAGGTGAAGCCATCCTGTTGTAGGCTTCCACACACATCCCTTTATTCTATTGGGAAAGTCTTTAAGTTCTTCAGTTATTGTATTTGTAATTCAATTTTATTATGACATTTGGTTTAAATGTCGTAATAGGAGCTGGTCTGTAAGTTTCTTAAAGTCCTTTGGGATTGGAGCAGTGTTGTAATAGCCTCATAACTAAGCAACTAATAAAGAAATACTGTAGATATAGATATAGATGATATACATAAAGATGATATTGATATATTGATTTATAGATATATAGATATATACTGTATTTTTCGCACTATAAAATGCTCTGAAGTATGATACACCTAGCTTTTGGGGAGGAAAACAAGAAAAAATAATCTACCTCTGACTCTGCCTCCCAGCAATTTGCCTTCTTGCATCAAACAGCAAACAGCATGGTCAGGTTCAGCACAGACTGATTTAACATGAAAAGCTGATTGGCGGTTGGATCTGCCTCCTGGAATACCTCCTAGGTTTCCTGAAATGGACCACTAGACTCCTAAACAACTGAAAAAACCATCTATTAAAAAGAAAAGGCAACCAAAAGAGCAACATGCAAACAAAAGCAAATAAAACACCCCCAGGAGCAAAACAAATTAAAGTTTAATTTGTGTGCATTGTTCAATGGACTGTTAAATTGGCCACGCCCACCTAGTCAAATGACCTACCCATGCCCACCTAGTCACATGATCACCTAGTCACGCCCACCCAGCTGATCCGGCCCCCCAACAGTTTGAGGGACCGTGAACTGGCCCCCTGTTTAAAAAGTTTGAGGATCCCTGGTCCAGGCTGCGGGGATCACTGCCACTGATTGGTGCTGGTGCTGCCCATCACTGCTGTCACCTATCGCCACCTCCGCGCATCCCATTTTCGGCCTCTGCGTGCCCCATTTTTGGTCCGTTCCCCACCGCTTGGAACAGGCCAAAAATTGAATGCGTGGAGGCTGAAAATGGGGTGCATGGAGGCCAAAAACAGGATGCATGGAGGCCGAAAATGGGGTGTGTGGAGATGGCGATAGGTGACAGTGGTGATGGGAGGCTGATCCAATCACCAATCAGCTGCTTGTGCTACATCAGGCTGTGCTGAAGCTGACCATGCTGTTCTTTGTTTGCTGCAAGGAGGTAAATTACTGCGAGGCAGAGGCTGAAGGGTGGGGGCTGGTGGGTCTTCAGCAACATTCACTGTATAAGATGAACAGACATTTTTTTTGGGGGGGGAGTGCATCTTATACTCTGAAAAGTATGGTAGATAGATGGTAGATAGATTGTTCTGTCCCCTCCCATGAGTGGCCTTGCAGAGGCTCAAATAGCCCGGCAGTAACAAATGCAGGCTAGAGAGACTGAAGCTGGCCCTTTAATAAATAGTTCTCTTCCAAAGCGTATATCAGTCTAATAGTTACTGGGCAATGTTGCAAAGGTCTTGGCAGACAGCCAGCAGGTTAATGCAGGAATGCAGACTCTTGTCAAAAAAACTCCAAACTAACAGTTGTAACTCCACTGCATCCAAAACTCCAACAAATTGTTCACCACGCCTTTCCAGCCCAGTTACACCCCTTTTATACTTTGTAGGGTGTGGCCCTACATCTCCTGACCACACCTCTTAGGACGTGGCAATAGCTGTTCTCTAAGACGTCTCCTACGTCTCTCTCTTGCATCTAATAGGGGCTCCCCCTCGTTGTTACTGGCCTCTGTTTCCTCCTCAATTTGGCTGGGTTCCATAGGCATGTCAGCAACTGTCAGTTCTTGCTGACTCACCAGTGAAGACAGCCCCTCCAGCACATAGCTCATGACAGCTTCCTCCTCCTCCATATCATCCTCTGAATCAGCATGCGAAGATAAATCAGCCTCCGGGGCCAGGGTCACAACATGATAGATAGATAGATAGATAGATAGATAGATAGATAGATAGATAGATAGAGATAGTGATAGAGATAGTGATAGTGATAGTGATAGTGATAGTGATAGTGATAGTGATAGTGATAGTGATAGTGATAGTGATATTGATATTGATAGATAGATAGATAGAGAGAAGATAGAGAGAGAGATAGAGAGAGAGAGATGAGATGAGATAGAGATAGAGATGATAGAGATAGAGATAGAGATAGAGATAGAGATAGAGATAGAGATAGAGATAGAGATAGAGATAGGCCAAGTGTGATTGGACACACAAGGAATTTGTCTTTGGTGCATATGCTCTCTAAAAAAAATTAGAGAGCATTTCACCGAGGCAGCCATCAGCAGCACCATCTTGGATACAGTGTATGTATGTATGTATGTATGTATGTATGTATGTATGTATGTATGTATGTATATACATACATACATATGTGTGTGTGTGTGTGTGTATGTGTGTGTTTCTATGGAGACACCTGGTCTACCCCAGCATGTATCCCTTTTGCCTTTCAGTTCCAATCCAGGAGCCCTCAAGCAGTCACATTCACGACAAACCATTCTATACCAAATTTATATTTTGCTGATATATATGAAAGGGATGTAGTATGCTCCCACATGCTGGGGTAGTCCAGGTGTCTCAATAGAAAAACACTTAATCTCTCCCCTGGCTCAAGCTGATGAAGGGAGGAGAACTTGTGGCTCAGAGGTTAATACAACTGCCTAACATGCAAGCAGCCCAAGTTTGAATCCAAGTAGGGGTATGGCTAACTGATGAGAGCTAAATAGCTTGAAATAGATCTATACTAGTCTCCCTTTATTTCTTTATCAGTGAAATGTGTGTGTGTGTGTGTGTTTTGTTTTTTTTTTTTTTTTCCCTCTAGCCAGGTTTTTCCTACGTAACCAAGGTTTTTCTGCAGCCCTAGCTCAATGGAATCACATCCACTCGATTCTGGGCTTTTTTATTTCTTCTTCAAGAACTTGCTGGCTGCCAGAAAGAAAAAAGCCCAGAATCGAGTGGATGTGATTCCATTGAGCTAGGGCTGCAGAAAAACCTTGGTTACGTAGGAAAAACCTGGCTAGAGGAAAAACACACATAAATCCTACGAAGAAGTATATATATATATATATATATGTGTGTGTGTGTGTGTGTGTGTGTGTGTGTGTGTGTGTGTTTTCTTTTCTTTTCGTAGGCCTTTATGTGTATTTCTCTTTAGCCAGGTTCTTCATACATAAACCAAGAGTTTTATGATCTACCTAGATCAGTGAAATCACAATCCACTAGTTTCTTTTTCAGGCTTTTTTCAGGCAGCCAGCAAGCACCCTGGGCAGTCTCCCAATGGGCAGCAGGGTGCTTGCTGGCTGCCTGAAAAAGCCTAGAAACTAATGGATTGTGATTTCACTGAACTAGGGCTGCATAAAAATCTTGATTTACGTAGGAAGAACCTGGCTAAAGAGAAATGCACACACACACACACACACACACACACACACACACACACACATTGCTCAAAAAAATAAAGGGAACACAAGCAGAAGACATCCAAGATCTGAATGAATGAAATAGCCTTATTAAATACTTTGTTCTTTACATACAGTAGTTTATACACTGCTCAAACAACTAAAGGGAACACAAAACTACTGTATGTAACGAACAAAGTATTTAATAAGGCTATTTCATTCATTCAGATCTTAGATGTCTTCTGCTTGTGTTCCCTTTATATATGTTTTCGTAGATTTTCACGGGTAGAGGTATGCAAGTTTTGGTGTATTAGGGTCTTTTCCCGTGTAAGATTGAGAGTATCTTGGCAACGTTTTGACGAGGTCTCACTTGTCATCTTCAGGCTGGTGTCTTCGGCTTCGTGCTTGTGTGAGGAAAGCGTGATCGGAGCTTCCATCTCTCTATAAATACTGATGGGGAGGTGTGGGGTGCTGGCTTTGTTGCTGTGAGTGGGTTGGTTGCCTGTGTTGTTACATCTTGATTGGTTGATGGACTTAATGTCTGCAGATTGCCTCATAAAATGAGTGTATGAGTATATGAGTACATGTATATGAGTCATATACCCCTATTTCTCTTATCTCATGCCAATAGTCACTTTATTCCTGATTGCTGTACTCCTATATTTGAAATGACTCATATACATAGAGTATTGCCACATTAAATTGATACATTAAATTGATAAATTAATACATAGAGTATTATTATATTATCTCATAGTAGTGACAGATGTGGACATTACAGAATATTTTAGGAGGCAAAATAGACAATTAAACAATAGCATTTACTTGACTCCTTTGATCAAGTGCTCCTTTTTATTCAGATCAGGTCTCAACAAAATAATATAGCATTTTGGGACAAAGACACAACCTAATAGAGCCCCACTGGAAGCCAAGATGGCAAAAATCTCTACAGCTACCATATATTTTCCTTTGCTGCTCACGTAGGCAGGAACAAAAGATAACCAGACACTGCAAAAGACCAGCATACTGAAAGTGATGGACTTGGTTTCCTGGAAAGTGTCTGGCAATTTCCTAGCTAGGAAAGCTACAACAAAGCTAACGATAGCCAAAAGACCCATGAAGCTCAAGATACAATAAAGCATCACAACAGACCCTTCATTGCATTCTAGAATGATTTCATTGTTTAGAGAGTTTGTGTCAGTGTTTGGAAATGGAGGAGAGATGGATAACCAGATCACACAAAGGAGGGTTTGAATAAGGGAGCAGAAGAGCACAATGAAAAGAGCTAATTGTTTTCCAAGCCATTTCCTCATTTGTGATCCTGGCTTGGTGGCTAGGAAAGCTAGAACCACAATAATAGTTTTAGCCAACAGGCAAGAAACCGCCACTGAGAAGATGATTCCAAAAGCTGTTTGTCGAAGGAGGCATGTCAGTTTTGTGGGTTGTCCAATGAAAAGCAGAGAACAAAGGAAGCAGAGGAGGAGGGAGATGAGGAGGGTGTAGGAGAGGCTGCGGTTGTTGGCCTTGACAATGGTAGTATTGTGGTACTTCCGGAAGATTCCAAGTACAGAAATTGTGCTGAAGGAAAGCACAAAAGCCACAGTGCTTAGCCCAATGCCCAGATTTTCTTCATAAGATAGGTAACTTACGTATTTGGGAATGCATGAATCATGGCCTTTATTTGAATAATGATCAGGTGGACACAGAAGACAATCATCCATGTCTGGAAAAGCAAATGGAAATATTAAATCAAAATATCCTTGACATATATGTATATTCTACCATATAAACAATTGAGGATATGTTTATTACATTTTCAACAAGATTTGCACAATCAGTTAAAGTTTGTTTTTAAATCACAAACAAAATGGGGGAAACTGGAAAACAATATGTCTTACTGCCTTCTGCTTTACAGAATACTAATTTACCATATTTGTTCTTATTTTGTCAAGGTCTTTCTAAGATAGTGAATTAAAACTATAGGAGTAAATAGTAAATAAATAGTAATAAGTACCAGAAGTTCTCATCCTCCAATGAGTAAAATTACTAATATAATTATTATATTCCTGAACAATAGAGTAGAAAGTATGATTTTCTATATGCAAACCTTCATTTCCAGGACTGACACTCACTTGGAAAGTTCATTACAAATGGTTATTTATTAGGAAAGGTAAAGGTTCCCCTCGCACATATGTGTTAGTCATTCCCGAATTTAGGTGGTGGTGCTCATCTCTGTTTCAAAGCTGAAGAGCCAGTGCTGTCCGAAGACGTCTCTGTGGTTATGTGGCCGGATGACTAAATGCCAAAGGCACATGAAATGCTGTTACCTTCCCACCAAAGGTGGTCCCTATTTTTCTACTTGCATTTTTTACGTGCTTTCAAACTGCTAGGTTGGCAGAAGCTGGGACAAGTAACGGGAGCACTAGGGATTTGAATCACTGAACTGCCAACCTTTCGATCGACAAGCTCAGTGTCTTAGCCACTGAGCCACCACTTCCCTTACATTTATTATTATTTATTAGTACAGCATATGAAAATAGAGAAACAACCCTGACCCCATTCACTCACATGGTTTCTCACCTGTCTGGTTTGAGATCTTCCCTTCTGAACATAGAATACAATCATAGCAGCAAAAGTGTTTGTTCTCTTTCTTGGTCTTTCTATAGCCTGAATGGCATTTATCATTGCACAAGGAAAGGGGCTGGGCCTGTCCATGAATGGAAAAGGTATAAAATAAGAAAAGGTCACAATCAGAAATTTCAATATATGAAGAAGATTCCAAGATTTGGAACACTGAAGCTTTTTCAATTCTGAGTAAGAAAATAAAAAGCTATTGAAATGACATGGATTCTACCTGTCCAAACTGGGTTGGCCAGACAATGTTCTTTTCAGAAATAGACAACAGTTGGTCTAAGGATGCCTGTGGGTCTATCCTTCCAATTTTGACTCTAAGGAAAGTCTGGTTTGAGAATGTGATCCAGTTGATGATGTCAAACTTTCCTATTAATTCACCACTTTTATCAAAAGAAATAATTGATCCGCTGCTGTCATTAAATGACACACATCTAAGAAAGTGATGGATCTAAATGGAAGAAGAACAAGAAAAAGACTTGAAAAATACCATAATGTATTTCAATGTAGTGTAATTTATATTTATCATTTTGGATATGTTACATACGTTTACAGCTAAGGATGGAGAGGAGACTTGATGTCACATCCTATGGCAATTTCTATAATTACACAAAGGGAAAAAAGACCAAACAAGCAAACAAACAAACAAACAAAAAAAGGAAATGTAAAGCAGAAGAGAAGAAAAAACATACAAACTCTGGCTGTTAGCTAACTTCAAGTTAAAAGAAATCAAAGAAATGAAAAAGTGGAGTTTCATGGATTGTCCAGTTTATTGAAAAATGTCGTGCAGTTTTAAATCTTTAAAATTATATTGAAGGCATCCTGTCATGTATTTAATTGGTTTGATGGCATTATCATCTTATTTCTTGGGAAAGTTGTCATTGACTAGGCAATCTTTTGGATGTCTTAACACATTTATCTGATCTTCTTTGGAGAATCATAACCTAAATAGGAAAATTGGGAGAAAACTTCCAAAAGAAGGATTGTCAGGAAAACTAGTTGGATGGGAACATGAAATCACCAGGAATACAGGCGATACCAAAGGAGGCTTGATACTGACTTTAAAATCTTCAGCAAAGGCTTCCAGTGGCACCGCAGGCACTGACAGATGCTCCTTTTGGACCGTCAGCCCCGCGATTTTGTTAAAACTGCCAAGACAGTGCAAATCAGCTGTCTGGCAGCTTGGAAACCTTCCCCTCGGGAGAAGAAAGGAAGGCGAGCAGCTGGTCTAAGGTAGAGCTCCCCAAAAGCCCTAGGAGCAATTCTGGGGCTTGGAGGGTGAGAGCTCCCTGATAGTCTGGCTGAGCTCCGAATCCGAGGCTTTTCTGCTTCAAACAGAACAAAATGCCGCGACCACCCCTGCAATCAACATTCAGATTCAAAATAAGCTTAAAGCAGGCAGAACCAAAACTGGAGTCCTAGCAACTGCAAGCACTGAATTTTAACTCTGAGCCTATACTTCTTCCTTCTAAGACTTTTAAAACGAAAGCAAAAATGGTGCCTGAACTGTAACAGGGTGTGAAAGTGAAAGTTATAGTGAAAGTGATAGTTAACATCGTTAGCGCTTCTAAGGCTTCTAAGGCTGTTTAAGATTATTGGATTCTACACCAACGAAAGAAAGATTTAAAATGGAAATACAGTTTGGACTTTAAATAAACTATAATACTTACAAAAGATTTAAAAACATTTGGACTTACTGATTTGGTTGCTGTAGGAAGTATAAATTGAAAGCTAAAAATGGCTTCTAAGCAAATAAAATCTGGTTTTAAAAGTGCTGGATCGCCAGCACAACCATCAAAATTACAATCTTTGTCTACTTCAAACCCACAAATATTGACTTTGGAGGTTCTACAGGAATCTCTGCAGGACGCTTTGAAGCAACAAACTTCTTTTTTAGAGGGGAAAATTAAGGGAGTGTCTGAAGAAATGGCTAAAATTAAAGAATTGATTCCAAAGGAGGGCCAAGATCATAGTCAACCTCAGAATAATAGGCCAATATCGCTTTTAAATATTGATTATAAGATTTTTGCTAAAATATTAGCAAATAGGTTAACGGTAATTATGCAACAAATGATTCATAATGACCAATCTGGATTTATAAGTGGGAGACAAATGAAAGGTAATGTAAGACAAATTGTAAACTTATTGGAATATCTGGAAAGGAACAACCAAGTCACTGCAGCACTTATCTTTTTGGATGCGGAGAAGACATTTGATTGATTGAATTGGCAATTTTTATTGAAAATAATAGAAAAGATGCAGTTTGGAGAATACTTTACACAATCTATTAGAGCAATATATCAGAGACAAACAGCGCAAATAATAATTAATGGTGGTTTAACAGAAACTTTTAAAATTGAAAAAGGAACAAGACAGGGATGCCCTTTATCACCGTTATTCTTTATTTTAACTTTGGAACCTTTACTGAATAAAATACGAGGGTCAAATAAAATAAAGGGAATTAAAATTAGACATCATGATTATAGATTAAGAGCATTTGCAGATGACTTGGTTGTTACCTTAACTCAACCAGTACAATCAGCTACAGGTTTAATGGATATAATTAGCCAATATGGACAAATGTCTGGATTTAAAATAAATAAACAAAAAACAAAGATAATAACTAAAAACATGATGGCAAAACAAAAAGAAGAACTAGAAAGACTAACAGGATTTGAAATAGTAAAAAAGGTTAAATATCTAGGGGTATATATCACAGCCTCAAATGTAAAATTATATAAAAATAAATATGAAATGTTATGGCAAAGAATTCAGAAAGAAATGGAGAATTGGGGAAAACTACAATTATCTCTGTTGGGAAGAGAGCAGCAATAAAAATGAATGTTTTACCTAGGTTTCTATTTTTGTTTCAAATGATACCAATACTCAAGAAAGATGAAAATTTGAGGGAGTGGCAGAAGGGTATTAATAATTTTGTTTGGGCAGGGAAAAGACCGAGAATAAAGTTAAAAATAATGCAAGATATACGTGAAAGAGGAGGTCTTAAAATGCCTAATCTAAGATTATACTATGAAGCAGCTGTCCTAACAATAATTAGTGATTGGATTATCTCTACAGAAGAAAGAATATTGAACATTGAAGGATATGATTTGTTATATGGCTGGCATGCTTATTTATTATATGATAAAAAGTGGATAAGACCTTTAAAAGCCATATATTAAGGAATGCCTTGTTACGAGTTTGGAAAAAGTATCAATATAAGTTAAATTATAAGATACCTATATGGGCAATACCCAGACATGCGATAGAGAATATAAGTGTAGAACAAAAGCAAGAGGTGATTACTTATAAAGAGCTTCTTAAAATGGAAGGGGGGAGGGGTTGCAGTTAAAATCTTTAAACACATTAAAAGAAGAAAGAATAATTCAAACTTGGTTTTAGTATGGTCAGTTGCAAGCTAGATGGAAAGAAGATCAGAGAATTGGTATCATGCAGAACGAGAAAAATTTGGTAAAACAAATTAGAGACCAAGGTCAAATGCATATAAAAAGATTATACAATGTATTGATAGAAATAGATTCAGAAACGGAATTAGTTAAGGATTGTATGATAAAATGGGCACAAAATATTCAGGAACCAATAATGATGGAAACTTGGGAAAAAATATGGGTTAGAAATGTAAAATTTACGCAAGCACAAAATTTAAGAGAAAATTTTTATAAAATGTTCTATAGATGGCATTTAGATCCTAAAAAGTTGGCTTGTATGTATCCGAATTTACAATCTAAGTGTTGGAGATGTGATTGTGATGATGCCACCTATTATCATATATAGTGGACTTGTAAAAAAGTTAAAGCATTTTGGATTAAAATATGGTGGATTATTCAAAATATTCTTAAAAAGAAGATAAAGTTTACTCCACAATTGTTTTTGTTGGGTATAATCACAGATTGTATGGTTATAGAGACTAAATTGATTTTAAATTTAATAACTGCAGCTAGACTTTTGGTGGCGCAATATTGGAAGAAGGAAGATTTGCCTACTATTGAAGAATGGACATTAAAAGTAGCGAATTTGGCAGAAATGGCGAAGATTTTGGCATATTTGAAAGATCACTCACAAGAAAGATATATATTGGAATGGAGAAGATGGATTGATTATATTCAAAACAAATATCGGACTAAGAAGTATCAAATAGCTTATGAATGAATAGAAAAATTAAGAGTATTTATGCTTAGTTAGTAAAAGGGGAGTTAAAGTGTGAAGGGGGGGATAGGAATCCTTAGGGGTTTTATTTTTTAAAAGTTTTACAAAGAAAATTCCTCCCCCTCCCACCCTCTTACAAGTCCATCATATATGATAATAAATTGCATCATCACATTCACATCTCCAACATTTAGCTTGCAAATTCGGGTACATACATGATAATTATTTAGAATCTAAATGCCATCTATAAAACATTTTATAAAAATTCTCTCTCAGGTTTTGTGTTTGCGTAAACTTAACATTTCTAACCCAAATCTTTTCCCATGTTTCTATCATTACTGTTTCCTGAAAGTTTTGTGCCCATTTTATCATACAATCATACAATCCTTAACCAATTCCGTTTCTGAATCTATTTCCAGTAAAGCGTTATACAACCTTTTAATATGCATCTGAAGGTTATGATTTGTTATATGGATGGCATGCTTATTTGTTACATGAAAAAAAAGTGGATAAAGGGTTGAGGGTTTGGAAAAAGTATCAATATAAGCTAAACTACAAGATACCTATATGGGCAAATCCCAGACATGCAATAGAAAATATAAGTATAGAACAAAAATAGGAGGTGATTACTTATAAAGAACTTCTTTTTATGGAAAGGGGTAAATTGCAGTTGAAATCTTTAAATGTATTGAAAGAAGAAGGGATAATCTATACTTGGTTTCAGTATGGTCAGCTTCAAGCTAGTTGGAGGGAAGATCAAAAAATTGGTGTCATGCAAAATGAGGAAAACCTGGTAAAACAGATTAGAGATCAAAGTCAAGTCAAGTATCCTTAGTTTATTAGCTTAGTTTAGCATATGATTGTTAATTGTTATACCCTGTATTTTGTTCTGGGAAGTTCAGGGGGGTGGGGGGGGTAAGGGAGGGAGGGAGGGATGGGAAAATACTTGTAAATATTTTTTTCTTTCTGTAAAACGTTTTAATAAAAAAAGCAAAAAAAGAATTAAAAAAAAAGAAAGAAAATCTTCCCATAACCAAGCACAACCAAGCTGGGTTGCAAATATAATGTTATCATGACTATCCTAAGGTAGAACTATCCTGCAGTTTATTCCATATTACAGATTACAGATTAACAGAGTTGGAAGGGACCTTGTAGGTCCTCTGGTCCAACTCCCCCCCACACCCAAGCAGGAGACCCTACAAATGGCAGTTCAATCTCTTCTTAAAAGTCTCAAGTGATGAAGCTCTCACAACGTCTGAAGGCAACTGGTTCCACTGGTTGATTGTTCTCACTGTCAGAAAATTTCTCCTTATTTCCAGGTTAAATCTCTCCTTGTTCAGTTTCCATCCATTATTCCTTGCCTGGCCTCCAGGTGCTTTGGAATATAGCTTGACCCCCCCCCCCAGTATTGGAAGATTGGAAGACTGCTATCATGTCTCCCCTGGTCCTTCTCTTCACTAGACTAGCCATGCCCAGTTTCTGTAACCGTTCTTCATATGTTTTAGCCTCCAGTCCCCTCACCATCCTGGTTGCTCTCCTCTGCATTTTTTCTACAGTTTCAACATCTTTATTATAGTGTGGTGACCAAAACTGGATGCAGTACTCTAGGTGTGGTCTTACTAAGGCTTTATAGAGTGGTATTACAGTACCACTCTATATTACATATCTCACAGTACCAGCCAAATTGGCTTGATTTTTGATCTACCACTAACTAGATTTATTTTTATTTATTTATAAAGTATTTCACATTCTTGGTCTGCCCATTTCCCTCAAAGAGAGAGTCTTTGGGTAAAGAGTTGATTCCAATTCTTCCTATCATTGGTATCTAAGACTTTCCTTTATGCAGTAATGTCAGCACTGATTTGCATATGTATGTTTATTTTTCGTTCTGTTTTAGTTGATCAGAATGAAATTTGGGAAGTAAGTACGATAGCAAATATTCACAGAATAATAAACCACTAGTGAAAAATATAGAAAGCTGGCTCACAGTTTCCTGTTCTTCTAGAGCTCATGACTGTGTAAGGAGTCCAAAATATATTTGAATAATTAATTCACAACAAGATGATAGCATATATTTTTTCCCTTTTATTTTGCTTTATCAAATTAAATTTTAAATTCGTGTGATTTTATAAATTGGGTGTTTTAATCTGTGTTTCGGCCAAAATATTTAATAATTTTAAGGGATTTTTAAAATATTTGTATTATCTGTATTTTATCTTGGCTGTTCACCGCCCTGAGTCCTTCGGGAGTAGGGCAGTATAGAAATTTGATTAATAAATAAATAAATAAATAAAATTTATACAACTACCCATCTCAACAAAAATGACTGTGGATGGTATATAAAACTGTCTCAGATAGCTTTTTTCAACATGTAGCCTTCTGCTTATAGATTCACAGACAGAGTAAGTATTCTTTAGGGCAAGAGGTTGTGGGACACCAATGGTTTTGGCAGTACCTTCCATACTTGTTGATTAAGGCTCTGTCTCCATCTGTCCGTCTTTGATCTTTGGTTGTACATTGAGGACTTCATCGCATGCAAAGCATGTGCAATGGCATAGACAGCATTGTAGACACTGTAGCTGTGAGCAGTCATCTGCATTTCAAACACAGTCATAGGGAGGGTCTCTAGCTGCTCCTTCCCAGTGCAGATGTCCACATCTGTCATTTCACTGGTAAAACTGGGGAAGAAGCAATTAAATGCTTGTTGCCAGATTTCTCTCAAAGAGTCATCATTTTTCACCAATGATGGGTTCCTCTCTTCAAGAAATTGGTAAAATCCAGAAACATCATTTGAATTCATTGCCAAAGATATCGAACCATGAAGAAAATTTAGGTCCCAGCTTCTTTGTATGGGAACAGAGGTGAAATCCACGTCAGCTGTCGTAATCCAGACTTTGAAATACTGGGGGCTTTCTAAAGCAGCTTCTGCCACTTTCAGGAGACTCCTTACATTAAACAGAATCTGAAATTCACCCTGAATAATAACTGTATTAGCCGTGGAGGTCAAGAGAATTTGGACAGTTTCCCCAGCTGCTTCCACCACTTCATCAAAATTATCAAGGAATCCCGCAGCCAATTTTGATACAAAATCAAAACAAATGCCACCTTTGGAAAACATGGGAAGCACATTCCTTAGCAATGTGTCTGTCACGCTGCCAGTATCAAGATACAACACCCCAATCCAGGTCCATCCAAAATGCAGTAAAAGATGGAGGATCCCCTTGTACTGGTGAATTGCATTTGGGAACATCCAATAGAAGAAAGGAGAATGTGTTTGAGTTTTCATCTCAGGAGCAGAGCTATAAGCAAGCTAAATAAAGGGAAGAGGAAGGGAAACAGTGCAGGTTTTTTCCTTGAAAGATTCATGGCCAATTTTTTTGTTTCTGCAGTAAAATTATCCAGTTTCCAGAACTACTTTAGCTAGTGTGTCCAAATAAACATTTCTGAGGGTTCCTGATAAAAAAAAAAAATTGCTATGAACCTGCCTTCCATTGAGGACCTGTATACTGCATGAGTCAAAAAGAGGGCTGTGGAAATATCTACAGACCCCTCGTATCATGGACATAAACTGTTTTTTTTTTAAAATTTGATTTATATGCCGCCCTTCTCCGAAGACTCAGGGCGGCTTACAGTGCGTTAAGCAATAGCCTTCATACTTTTGTATATTTATACAAAGTCAGCTTATTGCCCCCACAAACTGGGTCCTCATTTAACCTACCTTAGAAAGGATGGAAGGCTGAGTCAACCTTGAGCCTTGGAGAGATTCGAACCAGCAGTAAATTGCAGGCAGCTGTGTTAATAACAGGGTGCTTTAAACCACTGTAGTACCAAGGCTCTTGGTTTTAACTGCTACCCTCAAAACAACGCTATAGGCCAGAACAACTAGACACAAGAACAGTTTTTTCCCGAATGCCATCAGTCTGCTAAACAAATAATTCCCTCAACCCTGTCAAACTATTTACTAAGTCTTCACTATTATTAATCTTCTCCTCATTCCCACCACCAATCTCCTTCCACTTATGACTGTAACTTTGTTGCTTGTATCCTTACAATTGATATTGATATTGTTTCCTGATTGTTTATTTGTACCCTATGACTATCATTATCATTGTACCTTATGATTCTTGATGAACGTATCTTTTCTTTTATGTACACTGAGAGCATATGCACCAAGACAAATTCGTTGTGTGTCCAATCACAGTTGGCCAATAAAAAAATTCTATTCTATTCTATTCTATTCTATTCTATTCTATTCTATTCTATTCTATTCTATTCTATTCTATTCTATTCTATTCTATTCTATTCTATTCTATTTATTGGTTCGATTTATATGCCACCCTTCTCCGGAGACTCAGGGCGGCTTACAATGCTTTAAGCAATAGCCTTCATACTTTTGTATATACCTGCTTAGTAGGGCTTTTGGCCCCTCCTAAGTGGTGTTCTTTTTTATACAAAGTCAGTTTATTGCCCCCACAATCCGGATCCTCACTTTACCTACCTCGGAAGGATGGAAGGCTGAGTCAACCTTGAGCCTTATTCTATTCTATTCTATTCTATTCTATTCTATTCTATTCTATTCTATTCTATTCTATTCTATTCTATTCTATTCTATTCTATTCTATTCTATTCCATTCTATAATAAAATCAATGCAACCAACTTCAATTTCCAAGAGGATCTTTTTTTTTTCTTTTAAAAACCTTTCCAGTTTCATAAAAGTGACTTACCTGTGCAATTTTGTAGTTGTTCAGGATAGTAACCATGTCCAGGAATTCATTACAACTCGGTCCCCCAATGACAGATACCAAAGTGTTCTGGATGTCACATTTGTAGTTAGGAATAAATCTGCCTGATGTAGAGATTAATTCCATTGTGGCTGCAGAAGTACATCTTGGACTAAAATAAGTGTTGTAGATGCTGAAGCCTAGGGTGACATTAGTTAAGATCTGGGGATTTTCATTAATCTCCTTCACAGCAAACACCAAAGCTAAGACATGTTGGTAAGCCTGAGTCAGTAATCTGCAATGAAATAGAACACTAATAAATCCACCTTGCTTCTGAAGTTAGCTATTGTTTTCAGTGTTTTGGCTAATGTGTTTCTGAAGAATCATACATGGTTGGACAGCTGAGAAGAGATGCTCGTTACTTTCTATTTATAGAAAAAATACCAGCTGCCTTAGTGCAAGCTTCATTGTCTTCAAGTCAGACCTAGCACCGTCTAATAATTAGCCAGAAGGACTTAGCATCTTATTTAATTCAGAAGGTGCTATAAGAAATTGTCAGAAGGTGGTATTGTGCATTCCCCTAAAACAATAACCAATATATTTAGAATAGAATAGTCTTTATTGGTCAAGTATGATTGGTCAAGAGTGCTTGGACATACAAGGCATTTAGAATACAATAGACTAACAAAGTTAGAAGGGATCTTGGAGATCTTCTAGTCCAACCCCTTGCTTAGGCAGGAAACCCTGCACCACTTTAGACAATTGGTTTTCCAATATCTTCTTAAAAACTTCCAGTGTTGGAGCATTCACAACTTCTGGAGGCAAGCTGTTCCACAGATTTATTGTTCTAACTGTCAGGAAATTTCTCCTTAGTTCTAAGTTGCTTCTCTCCTTGATTAGTTTCCACCCATTGCTTCTTGTTCTACCGTCAGGTGCTTTGGAGAGTAGCTTGACTCCCTCTTCTTTGTGGCAACCCATGAGATATTGGAACACTGCTATCATGTCTCCCCTAGTTCTTCTTTTCATTAAACTAGACATACCCAGTTCCTGAAACCATTCTTCATATGTTTTAGCCTTCAGTCCCCTAATCATCTTTGTTGCTCTTCTCTGCACTCTTTCTAGAGTCTCAACATCTTTTTCACATCGTGGCGACCAAAACTGGATGCAGTATTCCAAGTATGGCCTTACCAAAGCATTATAAAGTGGTATTAACACTTCATGTGATTTTGATCCTATCCCTCTGTTTATGCAGCCTAGAACTGTCTTGGCTTTTTTGGCAGGTGCAGCACACTGCTGGCTCATATCTAAATGGTTGTCCACTAGGACTCCAATCTCCCTCTCACAGTTACTACTATTGAGCAAGGTACCACATATACTGTACCTGTGCATTTATCACGATGTACATACAAACAACAAAGTAATATAGACATAAGATACCAATAGGAGAAGGTAGTAGGAAAGATTAGAAGGATAATAGTAATAAAGCCCTACTACATGGGTCCTTCGACATAGGACTGTGCTGTAGGAACAGCAGAGTGATGGCACAAGGGAAAAAACCCATGAAAATAAAGTCAGGATAGAGTCAGAATAGTTTCATTTCCTTACATGAAATCAGTCATGTCCTGAGAGGGATGTCTTGTGAATTTGGCCTCTTCAGCAGCAAGGAAAAACTGAGAAATTGCACCACCAATAATGAGTTCTCCTGGTTGATAATACTTATGAAGAATAATGCTTGGCTCATTGCTCATGCACTTTGCCAAATGAATTTTGCAGACACTCTTAGGGAATAAAACTAAGATCACACCAAGTATTACAATAACGTAGGATTTTGGAAAGCAGTTCCCCATCTCCCATGCAGAGGACATAATAGCCATAAATTTCAGGGTTTACATGTCAAATATAAGGCAAATCATTACAGAGTAATATAGTTAGTCTAACCCTCTTATTTCCACAGCTTGGAAAAATCTTATGCCTCTATAAGTATCGGTTAATTTTCTTTAATAATATTTCCTATAGCTACAAATTATCCAGAGAATTGTGAAACAGAGAGAAATCACAATTAGCTGGATAAGCACAAACAAAATAATTACATATGCTTTTGATTACTAAACTGCTATTTATACATTCTTTAACTTATTTCCACTGAGCATTAAGTGACAGTTGATGATTTAATGACCCCACAGATTTCTTAGCAAGGTTTTTTAGAAGTGATTTGCCATTGCTTCTTTGGTAGCACTGAGAGAGGGAGAGGGGGGGACTAGCCCAAGCTCAGCCTGTTGGCTTTGTATCTAAGGAACAAGGATGTATCAAGGATGCAGCTGTAGAGGTGGTCAACAGTATTAAATATGTGGGGGATGCAGATAACTAACAATCTGAACTGGTCTCTCCACATGTCATCCTTAGTGGAGCATGCAAACTAGGGTCTGTATTTCCTGCATTGGATGAGAAGAGCACATCTTTCTCCTCCGATTGAGAGTATTTTAACAAACTGCATCACTGTTTGGTTTGGTGGCCGCAGTGCCTCAGATAGAAAGTCCATAGAGAGAGTGGTAAGGACAGCAGAGAAGATTATAGGAAGCTCCTTTCCTGTCATTCAGGATACTGCTTATACGCGCTATGTGCTTAGAGCCTGAAGCATTGTTAGAGACCCCACACATGCACTTTACAGTCTGTTTCTGTTCCTCCCCTCTGGGAGGAGGTTTTGAAGTATTTCTAGCAGGACTACCAGATTCCATATACCATTCATCTCGTAAACTTGCAAGATTCTCACAATGTACATGTATACATCTGAATTGGACTAAGTTGTTTCTCTGTGTCATATAATATATGTGGGTATATGCATAATTTTGTATGCATGTATGTATTTTGTCATGTCTATGTATTGTATAAGATGGTGATCCTTTGAGAGCTGCATGCAATGAAATTTCATTTTAATGTATGCCAATTAGTGTACATTCAAAGTGACAATAAAGTTATTCTTTATTGTCATATTGATGAGCCGAGGTGGCACAGTGGTTAGAGTACAGTACTGCAGGCTTCATCAGCTGACTGCTAGCTGCAGTTTGGCAGTTCAAATCTCACCCGCTCAAGGTTGACTCAGCCTTCCATCCTTCCAAGGTGGGTAAAATGAGGACCCAGATTGTTGGGGGCAATATGCTGACTTTGTAAACCACTTAGAGAGGGCTGTAAAGCACTGTAAAACTGTATATAAGTCTAAGTGCTATTGCTATGGCTATTCTAAGTTCTAAGTAGGCCTTAATCTCATGTTCACTCTGTTGCTAGTTTGATGACTTAAATGCTATATCATACTGGCTCCAGTAGTATGAACTAATAATATGCTACCCTTATTAGGAACAAATATGACTATCCTCTTTGTCCCCACCACCATTCAAACAATATTCATCCCTTCACAATGTCACATTGTCTGAATAGCCCTTCACTGAGAGTGATGATCCTTGGAAAACATTAAGAGCTTCCTCTAGCTTTGAATTATCTTCCTCTCAATGAAGGTCAAAGAGATGGGGAAGTTTTTCGTCCTTCCTCATGATGTCCATGTAAAAAAAACAACAAGAAAAGATGGTGGAGTTATCATGTGATTATTTGGTTCTGGTTGAAGAAAAATCAACAGTAATTATTAAATTTATTTTTTAAAGTATTTATTGCATTTATTTTAGAATTATTTTAAATATTAAAATTAGTCTAATCACCTTATCTCAGCTTTTTATATCATTTGTGCAAAGGTGAAACTTCTTCCACTCTGTAACAAAAAGTACCATTCAGGTTATAGAAGAACTAAGACTGAAGGAAAATCCTTTTGCTGTTATGATTGCACTTCTGGTCCAAATGGGAGAATCTCAAACAAATAGGTAAGAGTAAAAAAGGTTTTCATTGCATTCCCATGTATATGGACATTTTTATTTACACAAGGATTCTCCCAAACCTAGATAAATTGTCCCAATGTAATGGATCCTATTTAGTGGTGAAATCCAGCCGGATATATCCAGCTCATGTGAACCAGTAGCGTGGCGGAAGGATCTGCCCACCCACCGGAATATCATTACATCCCATTTTTTACCCTCTGTGCACTTCCATTCCTGAACCGGTAGTGAAGGTAAGTGGATTTCACCGCTGATCCTATTGATCCTTTGTTCTCTACTTTCCATCAGTTGACCCCTAAAGTTGACTTGTCTTCTTCAATGGACTGCTTTTGAGATCATCTACTCCAGGGGTGTCAAACACAAAGCCCACGGGCCGGATCCAGTCCATGATGTGGTTGGACCACATCATGGCAGTTTTTTCATGATTGATAGTAGTGTTGTGGCTCTGACCCCCGAGCCCATCTTATCGGAAGAAGAAGGCTCCGAACATGAAGGAGAGGAGCTGGCCAGGCCTCCCTCTCCAGGCCCCTCCTCTCTGGCAATGCCTCAGGTGTCTGCCGAGGGAGAGGAGATTGACCAGGAGCCAGGTGTCTCCGATGACAGCGATGAGGGTGATAAGTCATTCCTGGATCCACGCCAACGAAGGTGAGATAAACGTTTGCAGCAAATGAGGAGGCATGCCAGGGATTAAGCTGAGTCACTGGACCACACCCCACAGGCTATATAAGAGAATGTGGTGGCCATTTTGACTCTGTGATGGACAAAGCTAACTTCTGGCTAGTCACTTTGTACAACGCCTAATCTGCTGAAGGTTTCATGTTTGAGCAGGACTGTTTTGAAAACTGTGTGTATTTGTTGGTGTTATCTGGTGGAGGAACACTCCCTCTTCTTGTAGTAAAGCACTTGGCAGACGGTTATCGTATTGCTTCCAAGTTCCTGATAATGAACCTTGTGTGTGCCGAGTACTTCTTTAACCCCCAGCTGGCTGTTTGTGTGTGTGTGGGGACGGGGACAGAACAAGTAGAGAGGTATCATTAATATTTGTATTGCTGAAGTCATAGCAGCTGGAAGAGTTCTTTGATACTAGTTGTGCTACTTAGAAATTCTCTACTGACAATATCAGTACATGGTGCATCACTAAAAAAATGCTAAAAAGTACTTCTCTAAATAAGCACCACAGGCTATTAAGCTCACAGAAGCTAGTTAGGGTTTGTCTTAGATAAGAAGTAGAGTTTTACAGGATGAGGTGGAGGAGGAGGAGGAGAAGGATGGATATGTAGGTGTAATCTTTAAATCAATGCAAGACAGTGGTGGGATTCAATTTTTTTATTACCGGTTCTGTGGGCGTGGCTTGGTGGGTGTGGCTTGGTGGGTGTGGCAGGGAAAGGATAGTGTAAAATATCCATTCCCTCCCCACTCCAGGGGAAGGTTACTGCAAAATCCCCATTTCCTCCCGATCAGCTGGGATTCGGGAGGCAGAGAATAGATGGGGGTCTATTCAGTCAGTCAGAGGTGGTATTTACTAGTTCTCTGAACTACTCAAAATTTCCACTACTGGTTCTCCAGAACTGGTCAGAACCTGCTGAATACCACCTCTGATGCAAGAGCAAAAGGAGTTTGTTGTCTATTTCTATGAAAGTATATAAAAATGGTGCTCCAGAATCACTCATGGAAAATAAGGGCATATATAGCCACTGCTGCATGTAAGCAGCTCGAAGCATGTGAAGGCTTACACTGAGAAGAGCTAAGAACTGTGGCCTAATCTATCATGATGATTCTTAATTTTTTCTATAGGAGTGGCGGCCTGAAAAATATTGAGACTTGAATTAAATAAATACTTTTGTATTGTAGTTAATTAATGAAAGAATAAAATTATTTGAATCTTTTCTAGATTAAAACAATAGGAAATAGAAAGTTATAGAGCTTTTAACATGATTATTATCCAGTATGGGAAAAGTGGTATACCTGGTTAAAAAATAGAAAAAGGAAAAAAGAATAGGGAGTAATTGGAGTTACAGAAACAGGAACATAAATCACTAACATAAATTAACAATGAATCATAAAGATAGATATATGAGTAAGATCAAACAAGGAAGAGTCAAAACACAAATAAGAACATACATTACTGTTGTTTATTTGACAATATATATTTGATAAAATGTATATTTGAAATCTTTGTTTACATGTTTTGTTCTGTGTGTTTTGTTGTCACTAGTTCTGTTTTGTTTGTACTTTTAAACAAATAAAAATTTATTTAATTAAAAAAAATAAACTGGTTCTCCTCAAAAAAAAAAAAAAAGAGAAAGTTATAGAGCTGTGATGGAGAACCTTTAGCACTTGTGCCAGAGGTGGCGCGCAGTGCCCTCTCTGTGGGCATGCGAGCTGTGGCCCCAATTCAGCTCCACTGCACATGCGCATGCGCCTCCCACTAGCCAGCTGGTCTTTGGGTCTCTGCCGTGCATGTATGGGGGGAGGGGCGCATGCAGGGGATGTGCGTGCATGTGAGTGGGGCTGCACATGCGCGCATGCACAGAGGTGAGGAATGTGCAGGGAGGCTGCACATGCATGCACAGGGGCATACGCTGGGGCTGTGTGCATATGCATGGAGGCTGGGTTACATGCTCAGAGGCTGCGTGCGCATTGCATTTTGGGGATTCAGGCATGCATGCGCACATTTGCATGCGCACACATGCGCTTTGGCCACTCAATCCAGAAACGGTTAGCCATCAGTTATAGAGGAAATATGCAAGGGAAGAGACCACTTGGAGTAATCTGTAGTACTTTTTTTTTTTAACAAAACATAAAGTGTGCTTAACCTGGCAAATTGAGATCCATTTATATTTTTGAAAATTGTGATGCTCTTTTAACCAAAACATCCTTTGTGAACCAGCATATAGCTTAGGCTGGTGTTTGTTTACTGAGTTACCATTGAGTTTAATGGAATTTGACTTCATGCACAACATTCTTTACGCTGAATGGGGAATGGGGATAGGACAAAGATAGCAGCTTTATAGTAAATCCAATCACAGAGTACAGCATTATTATCTTAATAGAGATTTGTCAAGTCCCTTTCCCATCTCCCTGATGGCTCTGTGGGTATATAAGATTCTACGAAAATAAAAATACGTTGATTTCAATATCCCCTGTGATGGATACAAGAATGTTGTGTTCTATCAATTCAGGGGACAAATGTGTATTTTCTACTGCCTTGGTTTGCAACCAATACTTCCAAAATTCCAAGCTATTCTGTCATCTGTGGAAGAGATGGAAAATTGTTTTTGGAGAGGAAACAAATCAATTGTGATTGTAATATTTTGGGTACTCATATTACATTTGCCTCCTAAGAATGTCTGCAACGTTTGTTTTGCAAAATGCAGTAAGAATGATGCAAGCATTATTTTTCACAAATATTACCAACCAGGAGAACTCATTCTTGGTGCCATAGTTTCTCAGTTCATGGTTGTTTTTGAAGAGGCCGGATTCACAAGACATCCCTTTCACGATTTGATCTCTGATTTCATGTAAGGCACTGAAATTGCAAGCCATAGGATGATCCTAATTCTGATAAAAATTAGGAAGCCTAGTTTTAGAAATTGGTAATGGAGTATGGGAATATCTACTTTCTGCGGAATCTATATAGTTGTATCTATATCATCAATATCTATATTGCAAAAAAAAAAGAGAGATGGATGAATGGATGGAAGGAAGGAAGGAAGGAAGGAAGGAAGGAAGGAAGGAAGGAAGGAAGGAAGGAAGGAAGACAGTGGTTTATGGAGATTCTCAGTGATCCAGGTCATGGATCTCCCAAAGGTGTTTCTTTTTCAAGAGGCAACTGGATTTTCTGGTTTTTCTTTGACGACATTTCGCTTCTCATCCAAGAAACTTCTTCAGCTCATGAAGAAGAAACTGAAGAAGATTCTTGGATGAGAAGCAAAACGTCTTCAAGGAAAAACCAGAAAGTCTGATTACCTCTTGAAAAAAAAAAAAGCACTTTTGTGACTACTGTGGTTTGTTTCCTATCCACATTATATATTTTCTGTATTCGAAAGGTGTCTAAACAATGTTGGTAACCGTGAGAATTAAAACTGCTTTCTACTTTTTAACAATTTACAATGGAAGATAAATAGGAACAGTGCTTTTTCTGTCTCTGTTCCTTTCTGTTTTGTTTGTGTGTCTATGAGAAACAGATAGAGTGACAGATAGAAGTGTGGGTAAATGTATTAGCTGCTAACATCCACACGACACTGTACAGTATATATTGTATTGGGTAAAGGCAAAAAAATCATTCTCCCTTGATGTCCTTCTTAATTCAGTATGAAGTTAGCAGACATATATTATATTGAAATGCAGCACCTATTTCTTCTGAAGCAACATGACAGTATCTTTTTCTGATTTTTGAATTTCACTTTAGTTCAGTGACTCAGGCTTACCAACATGTCATAGCCTTGGTGTTCGCTGTAAAGGAGATTAATGAAAATGCCCAGATCTTAACCAATGTCACTCTAGGCTTCAAGATCTATAACACTTATTATAATGCAAAATATACTTATGCAGCCACCATGGAACTGCTCTCTACTCAAAGCAGGTTCATTCCTAACTATAAATGTGACCTCCAGAACAATTTGATGGCTGTTATTGGGGGACCAAACTATGATGAAATATTGTACATGGCAAACATCTTAACCAGCTACAAAATTGCACAAGTAAGTGTTTAAAAATAAATAAAGTGTTTTAAAATAAAATGTAATAAATATTATATGATTTGTTAATTTATTATTTATCAAATCTTATTTTATTAATAACATTTAGTATCTTTCACCCTTAATGTTTAATAATGATATTTTTAACCAGAGAACCAGAGAACATCAGCCAGATGTTCTCAGTACAGTGAATTGGATATCGGTACTAGCAATAAAAGCTTAGATTTATATTTCACTTCATAGTGCTTTACAGACCTCCTTAAGTGGTTTACAATGTCAGCATATTGCTCGATTTCTCAATTTACTGACCTCAGAAGGATGGAAGGCTCAGTCAAACTTGAGCTAGTCAGGATCGAACTCCATGCTGTAAGCAGAGTTAGCCTGCAATATTACATTCTAACCTCTGTAAACCATATTGAATTGTACAAAGTTAACTTGACCTGGAAATGATTTTATGGGAGAGTGGGAATATTATTCCTCCTGGGTTTCCTTCAAATCTTTTAGCTTGGATATACTTCTGCTCCAGAGATGAATACCCAAGATACTGCCTTCCACTGGATGTTCCCAAATAAAATTCAACAGCACAGAGGGATTCTCCATCTTCTATTGCATTTTGGGTGGACATGGATTGGGGTGTTATACATTGATATTGGCAGTCTGACACAGCTAGTACTGCAAAATGTGCTTCCCGTGTTTTCCAAAAGTGGTGTCTGCTTTGATTTCATAAGAAAACTGTCTGATGGCCCTCTCAGTGATATTGACAAACTAGCAAAAGGGATTCGTGCAACTTTACATTTTCTCTTGACCCGTAGTTCTAATGTGGTGATTGTTCATGGTGAATTTCAAAGTATATTAACTTTAAGGAATTTCCTCAGAGTAGCTGAATTTGTGGAAATGCCAGTATATTCTAAAGTCTGGATTATGACATCAGATGTTGATTACGTATCTGTTCCCCTTCAAAGAGGTTGGGACTTAAATTTCCTTCATGGATCTTTATCCTTGGCAATTAATTTCAAGGATGTTTCTGGCTTCCATCAGTTTCTTCAAGCAAGGAACCCTGCTTTGGAGAAAAAAGATGGCTTCCTAAGAGAAACCTGGCAACAGGTATTTAATTGTGTCTTCCCTAGTTTTACCGGAGACAATATGAGTGAGGACATTTGCACTGGCAAAGAGCAGCTAGGGACTCTCCCTATGTCGGTGCTTGAGATGAGGATGACTGCTCAGAGTTACAGTGTCTACATGGCTGCATATTCCGTTGCATATGCTTTGCATGCCATGTACTCTTCTATGGACAACCAAAAGGGAATTGCAAATGGATGGAGACAGAAAGTTCATCAACAGTCATGGAAGGTAATCCTTTGCATGAATTACTAAAGGCATTTGCAGCATCCTTTCCTTGCAATCACAGAACCACAGAGTTGGAAATGACCTTAAAGGTCCTTCTTATCCAATTCCTGCTTCTTCCCTAATTTCTTTTCATAGAATAACTGTAATGTGGAATACTGAAACTATCTACAAATGGTTAGATTCCAGCTTCTAAAAGTGGAGAGATATTTCTGATGGCAATATATTTCTAACTTTATCATAGTTTCTCGTTGTTTGTTTTGTGACCTCTGGTGGGTTTTTTTTCAAAAAATATATTTCACTTTATCATGATGGGATCATATTATCTATACTAGAGATCAGCAACCTTGAACACTCAAAGAGCCCTAACTGGAAGTCCTAACCAGAAGCCCTAACCGGAAGCCCCCGTTCAATTCTGGAGCCAACCAGAATTCTGGTTCCCCCCACCATAGTGTCTCCTCCTAGCTCAGTGTCCTTTTTCCTCTACCTATCCTGACTGAAAGCCCTATCAATTGTGGAGCTGACTGATGACAGGAAGCTACAGCAGAGGGATGAATGAGCCACAGGCAGCTCCAGAGCCACAGGTTGCCTACCCTTGATCTATACTATCTGGAAACTCCTTTGTGTTGGGGGTAAGAATTTATAAGGCTCTTGCTTTAAAAAAATAATAATAATTTATGCTCCTTTGAATTTCAAATGCCCCTGTGTAGCTTGTTTGTGTGTTTGTTTCATTGCATACACAAAAAGCAATGTGGTATCAAACATCCAACCGAATTTTGTCATGAAATGGCTATGGAATTAATTAGTAACTAGTTAGCCATTAGGCTAACTGTTCTGTAAGTGTTTGCTGACCTTCTAAAATTCATTTTAAAAATTAAATCATGTGAAATAAACATGTTCAATTTGTTTTAGTTTTTAGAATGAAAGAGCAATTTTTTCAACCTATATGCTCCCTCTTTTCACTTGTATCATCAGGGAAATCATGGCATAGTCTGATGCTATTGCATCAATAAAGTTAAAAACTCTGCCTCCCCATCCTTAGGAGTCAATATGTATAGCATAGGAATAGTATTAAAAATAAATTGCAATAAAAAGGAATATATTAAATGGTTCTTTTCTTACTCTCATTTAGATGCATCACTTTCTTAGGTATGTCTCATTTAATGACAGCAGTGGAAGAACTATTTCTTTTGACCAAAATGGAGAATTAGTAGCAGAGTTTGATATTATCAACTGGATCACATTCTCAAATCAGTCTTTTCTTAAAATCAAAATTGGAAAGCTGGATCCACAAGCACCCTTAGACCAACTGTTGACTATTTCCGAAAAGGACATTGTCTGGCCAACCCAATTTGGACAGGTAGAAACCATTTGAATATCACTTTTCTAAAGTTCAAAGCGCTTTAATACTCAGCTTACAAAACTGAATAATTATTAACAAACAAAACTGTCATATTTTCTATATCTTTCTATTAGAATTCTTTTCCACAAATATTATTCTTTTTTTTTCTTATCTAAGTTTTAAGCAGCTTCAATGTTTAGGTTAGAAGTTTCTATAGTTTCTATATCTGTCAATTAGACTTTATTTTCCAAATATTCTCCTGGTGTTCTTTTGTTAATTTCAATTGTACAATATTTCATGAATGAACCTGTCATTACTGAATAGCTGAAAAATTCTTACTGCAACACTGATTGCTTTTTGAGGCTATTGACCAGTATTTCCATATCAATGAAGAACACAAATTGACTGATTCTTTCTTTACATAACTTATTGCTGTCTCTCATTCAGTAATACAAATTAGCAATTATGGAAAAAAATAGGGTTATGTTTTTCTCCAATAACTTTATTCTGATAGCAGAATTCTGACAGCAACAGTGATTGTATTTCAGAGCTGTTGACCTTTATTTATAAAGAACAGAAATGGATTCTACCTGTCCAAATTGGGTTGGCCATAAATGTTCGTTTTGGAAATGGTCAACAGTTGGTCTAAGGCAGCTTGTGGGTCCAGCTTTCCAATTTTGACCCTAAGAAAAGACTGATTTGAGAATGTGATCCAGTTGATGATATCAAACCCTCTTACTAACTCTCCATTTTGGACAAAAGAAATCGTTCTTCCACTGCTGTCATTAAATGAGACATATCTGAGAAATTCACTGGGACATTTCTTCACTGGAACATTTCTATTTTTTCTCCACTCTTTACTTATAGTTGTATCTCATTCAATAATATAGCAAATGTACTAAAAGAATTTCAGCTGTATTCCTTTCCAATAGCAGTACATGTTACGGATGATTCATCCAAGATTATCTGTAAATTGTTTCAATATAACTGAGGTTTGTAGAAGATAAATGGAAGTGTTCTCCTCCTGAAGTTCACCTTGTATTTTTCTATAGTCCTCACACTTGGTGAGATAGGAGCGAAGGTGGGGCTTCTTTCAATATCTTTCAATTGCAAGAATGTAAATTGCACGCACAGATGCCAGTGAGAGGTATTAAATCTGCCTTATTCTAGTCTCCATTTTTAGACCAAAAATAGACATATTTTCAGTTGTTAAAATGCAGGACTCAAATCCATTGATCTGTTCTCCTAGTAACTTATTGCTGCCTCTCATTCAGAAGTATAAATCTTTTTCAATTGTGATAATGCACAACTGAGCTTTTTCTTCGTTTTTCACATTTAATCCAATGCTGCTTCCTTTCACGGACAGACACAGCCCATTTCATTGTGTAATGAGAAATGCCATTCAGGTTATAGAAAAAGCACCAAAGATGGAGAACCCTTTTGCTGCTATGATTGTACTCCGTGTTCAGAAGGGAAGATTTCCAACCAGACAGGTAAAAGCCTCATCAGAATATGAGATATATTTCAACACTTGGACACCACATTCTATCTTTAGTATCATAAATAAAGTCCCCTTTCCATATACTTAAAAATTCAGACTATAGAAACATATATCCCGTTTTACAACTATCAGAATTTGGATAGCTTCTAAAGACACTGGGATATTTATAATCATCCAAAATGCAAACTCAAGGAGAATTGTTAAAGATCTATGACCTTATATGCCTGATAATTACAAAATAAGTCAACACCAGACACATATTTCCTGTTGATATCAGGTTGTAAATAAATGTTCACTTGTATTTAAAACTGTCCCAGAAATTAGCATCAGCACTGGAAATGAAGGTTTCCATCTATGAAATCATGATTTCTATCCCTGAATCAAAGGGATGCAGTGTCTCCGTGCTAAGATGCTGAGCTTGTCGATCAAAAGATTGGCAGTTCAGCGCTTCGAATCCCTAGTGGTACGTAACGGGGTGAGCTCCTGTTACTTGTCCCACTTCTGCCAACCTAGCAGTTTGAAAGCACGTAAAAAATGCAACTAGAAAAATAGGGACCACCTTTGGTGGAAAGGTAATAGCATTCCATGTGCCTCTGGCATTTAGTCATGCTGGCCACATTACCATGAAGATGCCTTTGGACAGCACTGGCTCTTCAGCTTTGAAACGGAGATGAGCACCACCCCCTATAGTCGGGAACGACTAGCACATATATACAAGGGGAACCTTTACCTTTATCCCTGAATCTCTGAAATATTGAATTTATCAGATTTGGACATCCTAATTTTAGAAAGAAAAAAAAACCCAAAAATCAATCTCCTCTTCCCTACTTGGAACCAGCGGTGAAATCCCCCTTGTTCTATCCGGCTTGAAGAACCAGTAGTGCTGGTGGCGGGAGGCTCTGCCCAACCGCCGGGACAGCTGTCTATCTGGATCCGCTCCAGTCCGGCTTCCGGCCTGGGTACAGCACAGAAACGGCATTGGTCGCATTGGTGGATGATCTCTGGAGGGCTCGGGATAGGGGTTGCTCCTCTATCCTAGTCCTGTTAGATCTCTCAGCAGCTTTTGATACCATCGACCATGGTATCTTGCTGCACCGGTTGGAGGGGTTGGGAGTGGAGGGCACCATTTTGCGGTGGTTCTCCTCCTATCTCTCCGACCGGTCACAGTCGGTGTTGACAAGGGGGCAGAGGTCGACCCCGAGGCGCCTCGTTGTGGGGTGCTGCAAGGGTCAGTCCTCTCGCCCCTTCTGTTCAACATTTATGTGAAACCGCTGGGTGAGATCATCCATGGCTTTGAGGTGGAGTTCCATCAGTACGCTGATGATACGCAGCTGTACATCTTCACCCCAGGCCATCCCAACGATGCCCTTGAAGTAATGTCCCGGTGCCTGGAGGTCTGGATGGGGAATAACAGGCTTCGACTCAACCCTTCCAAGACCAAGTGGCTGTGGCTTCCGGTGTCCCGATATAGCCAGCTGGTGCCAACGCTGGCTATTGGGGGTGAATCATTGGCCCCCATGGAGAGGGCTCGCAACTTGGGCATCCTCCTGGATACACGGCTGTCTTTGGAAGAGCATATGATGGGCGTGGCCAGGGGGGCTTTTCATCAGGTCTGCCTGATTCGCCAGTTGCGGCCCTTTCTGGATCAGGACTCCTTACGCACAGTCACTCAGGCACTCATCACTTCCTGCCTGGACTACTGCAATGCTCTCTACATGGGGCTCCCCTTGAGGAGCATCCGGAGGCTCCAACTGGTGCAGAATGCAGCCGCGTGGGGGATTATGGGAGCAAGAGGGCGCTCCCATGTGATGCCTCTCCTGGCTTACAGTGGTCTTCCAGGTTTGCTTCAAGGTGTTGGTCACCACCTTTAAAGCGCTCCATGGCATCGGACCTGGGTATTTGTGAGACCGCCTTCTGCCGCCGATAGCCTCCCACCGACCAGTATGCTCTCACAGAGAGGGACTCCTCAGGATGCCATCAGCCAGGCAATGTTGGCTGGCGACCCCCAGGGAGAGGGCCTTCTCCACCTGCCCTCTGGAACGATTTGCCCCCGGAGATATGAAGGATACCAGATCTCCGGGCCTTTCGCTGTGCCCTAAAAACTTTTCTTTTCCATCAAGCAGGGCTGGCGTGAAAACCCCCCCCCCCTTTAGCTCTTTTTAAACTCTTTTTAGCTTTTTAGCTTTTTAAGTGTAAATTGGGTTTTAATTGGATTGTTTTAAATTGTGGGCCAAAGCTGTATAATTCTTTTAATTGATTTTAAATTTTGTATTGGTATGCTTTTTATCCTTGGCTGTGCACTGCCCTGAGTCCAATAGGAGAAGGGCGGTATATAAATTGAATAAATAATAATAATAATAATAATAATAATAATAATAATAATAATAATAATAATGTCCTGTTTTTTACTCCCATTCCCAAACCGGTAGCGAAGGTAAGTGGATTTCACCACTGCTTGGAACTTCCTATATTTGGATCCTATCTTAATAATTTGTGGGTCCTTCTTTAAGACAAGTTATTATGTTTCCATCAGTCTTAGACTGTGAATCTAAATGTAGATTGCCCACTTATCATCCTCCTCATCCTCATCATCCAGAACCAGGGAAATACTTTAATTATAGGAAAATCCAGTTGTTCAGGAAGGAAACACCACATTTTATCTTATCAACAGCCTCTACTGATCTCCCATAAAGAATTGGATTTTCACTACCAATATAATGCAAATAGAAGAGATGGAGACATTCGTTTCATTTTTCCATTCTTGCGCGTATAGTATCCTAGCTGCAGTAGTGATGTGGAGGATCAAAAACCATTTTTCTTTAGTTATTTTGTCTGGTTTCATTCCTAATAAAAAAATCTCTGGTTTCGGCTCTATATTATATCCTGTAATTTCCACCATCCAGTTCCGAACCTTGGACCAATATTTGCCTGCTTTGGGGCACGTCCACCATTGGTGGTAGTACATCCCACAACCATTCCCACATTTCCAGCTTGCCGGAGAAACTCCCGGGAAACTCCCAGGAATTAATACCCACAGAAAATAAATTGATTTGGAAAATTACAGAATGCGCAGAGGCAGACCGGTAAAGGAAACTACTTAGGAACCAAAAAGATTCTGATTATTACAAATGTTGGAATTTATGGTATAATTGGGTGAAAGAAAAGAGAGGGAAATGAAATGGATTGTATTAGTGGTATAGGCGCAGATTTGTGTACGTTAGTTGCAATAACCTTATATGTATATATGTAAAGTATTGTATTTTTTAAAATGAAAATAAACTTTATTTAAAAAAAAAGAGATGGAGACATTGATATATAAATTTGGGCTTGTTTTACCTTATGCCCTATAATCCTTATCAGATTGAGTTTTCATTGCAGATAGTAAGTTAATGATTGCTTGATGATTAAAAAGAGTGAACGTCACCTGAATGTAATTCAATGCACTTTTCTCATTGGAAAAAAGTTTGATGCATTTTTCCTGCATGTGTTTATTTTACAAATATATCTGAGAATTATATGTTTTATTCTATTAAAATAGAGGGGGGGGACTAATGGTAATACAGTTAACAGATTTTTTTTTTATTCTTAAAGGGGGAAATATGCAGAAATATCAGTAGTATCTAGATTAAACATACATTTTTGCTTTTTCAGACATGGATGATTGCTTTCAGTGCCCAGATGATCATTACCCAAATAAAGACCATGATTCATGCATTCCCAAACCTATCAGTTACCTATCTTATGAAGATAATTTGGGGACCAGCTTGGCCGCAGTGGCTCTTCTGTTTTCTTTTACTACAATTTACATTCTAGGAATCTTTTTGAAGTATCACAACACTCCCATTGTCAAGGCCAACAACCGCAGCCTCTCCTACATCCTCCTCATCTCCCTTCTCCTTGCCTTCCTTTCTTCCCTGCTATTTATTGGTCGACCCACAAGTATGACTTGTCTCATTCGACAAACTGCTTTTGGCATCATCTTCTCAGTGGCGGTTTCTTGTATGTTGGCCAAAACAATCACAGTGATTCTTGCATTTATGGCCACCAAGCCAGGATCAAAGATGAGGATGTGGATTGGAAATCGACTAGCCCTTTCAGTTGTTTTTTCCTGTTGTCTTGTACAAACACTTCTTTCTGTAGTCTGGCTTTCCACCTCTCCCCCTTTCCCAAATGTTGACATGAACTCTCTTAGCACTGAAATCATTCTGGAATGTAATGAAGGCTCTGTTGTGATGCTTTATTGTATATTGAGCTTCATGGGTCTTTTGGCTGTTGTCAGTTTTGTTGCAGCTTTCCTAGCCAGGAAATTACCAGACACTTTCCAAGAAACCAAATCCATCACTTTCAGCATGCTGATCTTTTGCAGTGTCTGGTTGTCCTTCATACCTGCCTACATGAGTACCAAAGGCAAATATATGGTGGCCGTGGAGATCTTTGCCATCTTGGCCTCCAGTGCGGGGCTACTGATTTGTATCTTTTCCCCAAAATGCTATATCATCGTGTTGAGACCTGACTTTAATAGAAAAGAGAATCTGATAAAAAGAATCCGTTAAGTGACATTCTTCGTGGTTGTTTTTCATGAAACATGCTAATATTTTCCCTAACATCTTCAATACATATTGAAGATGTACTTTTCTATACATATATTCAATGTAGACATGTGCATTTCAAGTGTACAGGAGATAACTATTAGTAATAAAGAGGGTACTGGGCTCTCAAAAGAGATTTTAGAAACTCCCTGTGAGGTACTTTGATTGTGTATCCATGCTTGTATACAATAGAAAATTCAGTAGGCTTTAAAGCAGGAAAGAGAGAGTTTTATTCATGGTTCAATATATCCCAACTAGACTGACCATAAAATTTTTTGGTAAAAGAATGTAAAAAGAAGCAAAAAATAAATACAAAGATGGCTTCTAAAGATATTCAAAATCTGTTCAATGGCATACTTTCTTTCATGAGACATGCTAATATTTTTCTTAACATGTTAAATAGATATTAAAGATACACCTTTCTCTGCATATATTCAATGTTCATATGTGTTTCAAATCTGCAGGAACTAAGTATAAATAACAAAGAGGCTACGGGGATCCCATAACAGATTTTAGAAAGTCCTTGGGAGGCATTTTAATTATGTATCCATGGTCCTAAAAAAATAGAAAAATCAATAGGCTTCCTCATTTAGTAAAGTATTTGGTAATGTTGGCGAAGAGAGAACTTACTTACATTTGGAAATGGAGATGAGTGCAACCCCCTAGAGTCAGGAACGTGTGCGAGGGGAACCTTTACCTTTAATTTAAATAATTCTGTCTTATTATTGATTTGTATTTCATATTTCTTAAAAACCATCTCCCTCAGAGAGAGGCTCTGGACAGTGTACAATATAATGGACTGGGCTATGGCATGGACTGATGTGATGGGGCAAAGCAATTCCATAGGTAGCCTGGCCCTATGTCATGTCATGTAGGGCTTTATAGATTATTAGCAACACCTTAAATTGGACCTGGAAGCAAACAGGTACCCAGTGCAGCTTGTGGAGCAAGGGTGTTTATACATGGCCTTCTTTGGGCACCCAGTATGGCACCTTGTATAGCTTCTGGATACTTTTCAGTGCTAGTCCCATATAGAGTGCATTGCAATAGTTGAATTGGGAGGTGACCATGGATTGAGTGATCAAATTGAGATCATCCTTGTCAGGAAAGGTCATAAGTGGCACATAAAACACCTAGTTAGGCAAAGGGTCTCCTGGCTACACCCCCAGCTGCTCTTTGACCAGGAGCTGTGAGTCCAAGAAAATAGCCAAGCTAATATATTGGGTCTGTCTTGTGGATTAGGAATCAAATAAGTTTGAATGATTGGTTTGAAAATTGGTAAAAAGGGACATGTTAAGGTGACAGAACCTCAGCAGGCCTTAGAGGCAATGGAAAGTTCCATAAGAAATCACAAGTCTGGGGGTTATTCCTGTGACCTTATCTGCTGTGTACCACAAAAGATGTATAGTTATAGTTATTAGTTATCTGTTGTTTCCCATCCACAGTCTCCATGTACAATGCAAAGGTGAGTACTGCACCACTCACTTCACCCAGGATGGAAATAGATAGACAGCTGGGTCTCATCAGCATTTTGACGATACCTCGTACAGTGGTGATGGATGAGAAAGGTTGGTTTTGCAAATTGCATTCAGCGAAATTGTATATTTTTTTTTATGGCCTAGGATTACAAGTAAAACAGGCAGTATGACTTGTTCAGCCGCACACAACACTCCTCCCAAGCAACAGGCAGGATCAATTTAGATGACTGATGAATATAAAAATTAGGCTAAGGTAATGGTAGAGAAAACTTGAAACTGAGGGGGGATGTTTTTTCCAAGCACACAATTTCAGGTACAATTCTTAACATCTTATAGAAGGGTAGGAAGTATGCCATTCTTTAAGGTAAGAAATATTAGACCTTCCAATCTAATAGTAAATCATTATAGTCAATTATAAGGAATGTCTCTATGTTTCCTCAATAAAAGCTGATATGATGATTACTGGAACATAATACACTGATAATTTTCCACAATAGCTTTAGTGTTAAAAAAAAATAAAATAAATCAAGACCTGGATATATTTCTTTATCATGGAACCATGAAGCTTGTTTTAATAAAGTACCTAACCAGCACTGACTAATTTTGAAGAGCTAAACAGGGATGAAACTTTTTAGAAGTAGAATCAGAGATCACTATAAAATCCGAGATCTATTGTCGAGTAGAATAGAGGGGTGGAAAATATCTCATATTTGACCTCTTGGCTGAATAGAACTTCTTTCTAATGGGAACAATTCTTTCCTAGCTACGAGCGTGCTGCTCCAAATAATCCAGTTGCCATTATTGCAGCCCATAGCTTCCCAATACAATCAGACAGAACTTTGAGCAGTCTGTAGTAATTTATTTTTCCCAAAACATAAATTGTGCTTGCCTGGAAAAATCAATGTGTAGTATTTAAAAATTGTGATGCCCTATGCAAACTACCATGTGGCTTATGCTTATTTTCATTTACAGAGTTACTACAGGTAGTCCTTAACTTAAAAGGTAAAGTTAAAGGTTCTCCTTGTACATATGTGCTAGTCGTTCCTGACTCTAGGGGGTGAAGCTCATCTCCATTTGAAAGCCAAAGAGCTAGCGCTGTCCAAAAACATTTCTGTGGTCATGTGACCGGCACGAGTAAACGGCAAAGGCGCATGGAACAGTATTACATTCCCCCCAAAGGTGATCCCTAGCTGGGACAAGTAACAGGAGCTCACCCTGTTACATGGCACTAGGGATTAACATCAGTTAGTTAGTTAGTTAGTTAGTTAGTTAGTTAGTTAGTTAGTTAGTTAATTAGTTAGTTAGTTAGTTAGTTAGGGATTACAACAGTTCAAAGTTATAATGGCACTGAAAAAAGTGAGTTATGACCATTTTTCAGGCTTATGATCTTTGAAGCATCTCCATGATCATATGATCAAAATTTAGATCATATCTTGCTTGATCAATTGCTTGGAAACTGGTTCATAATTATGACCATTGCTGTGTCCCAAGGTCATGTGGTCATCTTTTGCAACCTTCTGATAAGCAAAGTCAATGGGGAAGCCAGATTCACTTAACAACCGGGGAAGACAACAACCGGGTTTGCTAACTTATCAACTCCAGTGATTCACTTAACAACTCTGGCAAGAAAGGTCATAAAAGGGGGCAAAACTCACTTAACAACTAACGCACAACGACAGAAATTTTGGTCTCAATTGTAGTCGTAACTCAAGGACGACCTGTGTTGAGTTCAATAGAATATGACCTCATGGACCACATTACAACATTCTTCTTGGTCAGTGGGTATGAGACAAAAATAACAGCAGTGTAGTAAACACCACATGTTACAGGATTATTTGAATTAATTATTGTCTTAATAGAAAATTGTCATCCCTTCCCCAGGTCCCCAAATTCTCTGTGGGTACTTGTGATTCTATGAAAATTAAAGTGTGGTTATTTAAATAACCCTGTTGATTTTCAAACCTGGAGTTACAATGCTAGGACTCAGTGGACCAATGTGCATTTTCCACTGTATTAGTTTGCAACTGATAATTAACTTTCAGACTTTGAGGCTATTCTGTGGAGGAGATGAAATATTGTTTTTCAAAAGAATTTTCCAAGAAACAAAGAATCAAATCATTTGTGATGGTCACATTTTGGGGACAAATGTTATATTTGCTCCTTCAGAATATCTGCAGTGTTTGTTTTGAAAAGTGCAGTAGCAATGATCCAAGCATCATTCTTCATAAATATTATCAACCAGGAGAACTCATTATTGGTGCTACAGTTTCTGAGTACGTGGTTGCTTCTGAAGAGACCAAATTCACAAGACATCCCTTAAATGATATCATCCCCGAGTTCCTGTAAGTAGCTGAAATTTGCAAGCCATAGGGTGATCCTACCTTGATAAAAATTGGGAGAAGAAGTATTAAGATTTAGTCATTGCTAATGTTTTGCTGCTATGAGGAAGGAGGGGAGGAGGGGAGGAGGAAAGGGTGGGAGGAAGCCAAGAAGGAAAGGAAAGGAAAGGAAAGGAAAGGAAAGGAAAGGAAAGGAAAGGAAAGGAAAGGAAAGGAAAGGAAAGGAAAGGAAAGGAAAGGAAAGGACATCAGAGTGGTTGGTTTGATATCCGCATTATATTTTGTCTGTTAATCTAAAGGAACCTGTACAGTTTGAGATTCCTACTTTTAAACATTTGTTCAGCATGAAGTTAGCAGACATATATTGTATTGAAATGCAGCACATATTTCCTCGGAAGCCACTTGACAGTGTATATTTCTAATTTTTGAATTTCACTCTAGTTCAGTGACTCAAGCCTACCAACATGTCATAGCCTTGGTGTTTGCTGTAAAGGAGATTAATGAAAATGCCCAGTTCTTAAACAATGTCACCATAGGCTTCAAGATCTATAACACATATTATAATGCAAAATATACTTATGCAGCCACAATGGAATTACTCTCTACACCAGGCAGGTTCATTCCTAACTATAAATGTGACGTCCAAAACAATCTGATAGCTGTTATTGGGGGTCCAAACTCTTATGAATTTCTGTACATGGCAAGCATCTTGACCAATTACAAAATTGCACAGGTAAGTGGCTGAAAGAATAATTGCTTTAAAATAATATTTAATAAATAGTATTTTATTAAATAATATTTAATATTGGTTAATAAAATAATATTCAGTTAGCTTTATTGATTAGCCTATAGGCCATATAAAAGCACAAAGTGGAAACACATATCATCATTAAAATATTATACAAACAATTTAAAATAAAAGTAGGGTAAAATACAATAGTTATAGGATTAGATACAATATAATTTGATACATAAATATATAAAATAGAGTAAAATGACATAAAATTACATTTCGGTGTCACCCACACAATCTACCCCAATCTGTCCCACATATGCAGATCTCAACTAAAACATTTTGTTTAAGTACTGTGCTGTGTTAGATGTTATCTTCAGGTTCTGGCCACACATAAAGTAGGTTTTTTTTTATATGGGGATCCCAATGGGTCATTCGCTTGGTATAT